CACCTGTTCTTGTTTCCTTCTCAACCATTTGTTCAAATGTAGCTTCTGATAAATGAACTTCAACTTCTTTATCTTTATTCTTTGGTTTCTTTTCCTATTTCAAGCTGTGGCTTTGTGACCTTGTTACCACACAGTCAGGAGACATCCCAGAATATACTTCCTGTAACATTTCAATTGTTTGATTTTTTTCACTGGCTTTTCAACCACAATAGGCATCACTCCCACTTACGATCCAACTATACCATTACCGAGAATAAACGACATCTCTGGAACAGAGTATTTCTCTATTAGTTCTACCACCACTTCACCACTTTTCACCGGACTCTCCAAACTCACCTTATACAATGGAACACTACTTTTCTCACCATGAGTTCCACATATAACCACCTTTTCTGGCAGACCTCCTTCCAAAGTACATACCTCCTCATCTCTCACCATCAAAGACTGACTTGCTCATGCATCTTGTAAAATTTTAATTTCTTTACCTGCTCCTCCTGGTACACATGAGTAAACCTTACCCAAACAGGTAAATTCTTTAAGAGATCTGGTACTTTCTTATTAATGAACCACTAACCAGGCTGTACATGCTTTTGCAGCTCTTTAGCTTCCACTGGGATCTCCTTTACGACAATAAATCCCACGGATCTATCCTGATTTACCACATCCGTCTTCCCAGTGCTTTTCTTAAACCACCAACACTGCAACTTCATGTGTCCTACTCTATTACAACAAAAACGCCTGAGCTTTTTAAATTTTGTTCCCCTATGTGTTTCTTTTTTAACCTGTGATAAACTATCTTCAACAAGATTTCCTTTTTCTTTACTACCAGAGGATTTCTCTTTTCCCCAAATTTCTATCCCTCACTGACTGAAATTGATGTCAGAAGCCAAACTTTGATTTATGAACTAGCTCATAATCATTGCCCATTTCTGCTGCAAACCTTGCTGTTTTAACTCTCTCCTCTTCCACGCGTGTTCTCACTACATCAGGGAGTGAAATCTTGAACTCCTCCGAAATAACAGTTTCTCTACGAGTGTCATATGTCTGATCTATTTTCATTTGCCCTTATCCACCTATCAGTTACTTTGTTTGGTCCTTTCCAACACTACGTACACTTGTTCAGGTACCCTCCTCAGATTCCTAAAACGTTAGCCATTTCCAATGATTCTGAATGCATTCCTGGCAATTGTAAATGTACAGCTATTGTCGCAATTATCTCCCCCTTCCTCAGAGACATAGACAACTTCAACTTCAGCTGATAGTAGGAACTGCAGATGCTGGAGAATCCGAGACAACAAGGTGCAGGGCTGGATGAACACAGCAGGCCAAGCAGCATCATAGGAGC